TCTTGACTTGGATTCGACTCGGACTTTGCCTATTTTGACCTGAGACTTGATTCGGACTTGAGTGCAAAGACTTGAGACTTGCTTGTGACTTGCAAAGCAATGACTTGGTCCCACCTCTGGTTCATATAGTACCAACACGGTGTGTAGTCATAACAGTAACAATGCATCATTCAATTACATGGGACGATATATTACTATCTAATGCACTTACACCCTGTCGTTTACTCCTGTTGACAGCAGCAGAGGCAGCGGGAAAATAATTTTGACATTAGTGCTGGGGTGTGATTTAATCTACTGTGTTTGATTCACAGTAGATTATTGAATTTTGATGAACAAATATTAGCAGTTTTAGCTATCCTCGCAGTCACATTCAATCTATCAAAAAGAACTGTGAGAGCAGACAGATAAAATAGTGCATCATCGGCGTAGTGATGCCAAGTTCTTCCAGTTTTAAGTGCTAAATGCAGCGATGTATACTTTAATAATTGAAGATACCTCCTGTTGTTAATACAATTATGCAACCTAACTTTATTGTGTAAAATGTAGAAATCTATTTGGAGTAGGGAATCTTAATCAACACCGCAGCGCATTATGAAAAGCAACGTTTTAGATAGAGGTTAACTGTGTCTTGATTTATTTTTTTTGGAAAAAATACTCACAATGTGTCACATTAGTAACACTTATTCAAGCACGATACTGTTGCAAGACCACATTTTTGCCTTGTTTTATTTACAGTGTCCTCTCAATGTGAGCTCCCTGGTCTTGTTTCAATCATTCACTAGCATTTTATGCTTATGAGGTGAGGCAGTAGGATACAGGTTAACTCCCTGAAACCAAGGCTGTGGCCTCTCTTTCCCACAGTGTGTCATCGCCACCCAAGTTCCCCGGCCTGAGAAATAAGGAAGTGAAAATCGACTAAATATTTGAGTATTTTTTAACCCTGACCCAGAAAACTACAGTTAATGCAAATTATGCCTAAAACATACGGACCAATTTACCATTCAGACACTGTACATTAACCACATTTGAAACACCTCATTAAGTACTGTGCCAAAGTGAATGCACCATATGTCCCTTTGCACCAAGGACATAGAGAGGACAGGTTTGTGAGAAACTACGAAAGTGAAAAGCTTGTTTTCAGTCTCACAAACATATTGGAGTGTTACATTTGCATACCCACTAGAATGTTCCGGCTTGCTGACCAACAGCAAAATAACACATTATATTCTGATTTCTGGTGCCTTTAATAGCAGAATGCTAAAGTGAAATAGCCTCTTGCTGCTCCGACGGGGTTTTTTTTTTAGGATTTTAGGGCTTTCAAAAAGTGGCCTTGGTAAGGACCTTGAACTGGTATTTGAAGTTAACACCTATTGTCAAAAATTGAATCTCATTTTTAATGAATACTATCCTCAGTTGAAAGATGAGAGACGTACTGATGAAATTCTCAATTTAGCTTAGCTGTTGGCTAAGAATATTTCAAATTCATTTCCACATTGTTCACTTGTTTCCACTGCCCGCTGCAGGATCATAAAGAAACTGCTTTTACTTTTAAACATGTCCATTTCACATGCAGGCACCAAAAAAAAGCAATATGAATTTTGCTGGTACAGAAAGCC